ACACCTCAGTCTACCTATCGAGTTGCCATCTATGCTGTCCTTGGCCCAGGGCTACTTGGGAGGATAGGCTCAGGAAAGAGGCCCACACAGGCCCTACAAAGGGGCTGGGGTCATTTGGGCAACAAAATCCAAGACGCCAAGACTCAGATTGTGGGTTGAAGGATGGGGGAGAGGGACTAGGAGAGCAGGACCACTCGATTCCACAGACTTCCTGTCCCTTAGGAGGGAGAGAGCTGGAGGAGAGTCAGAGCGTGGTCCCGTGAAGCACAAGACCCAGGGCAAGGTCTCCCCTTGCCTAAGTCTAAGGCCAGTGCTGCTGAGGAATGGAAACTACCTGGTGGCCTTGGGAAAGAAACTGAGCACGGAGACAGTGGGCAGGACAGAGCAGGGAGCAGGAACCAAAGCAGCCCAGCCAGCCGCAGGGACACAGGCTGAGCAGGTAGCAGGATGGGGTAAAGTCACAAGCTCTCCAAGGCATGCCCACGTCAAGCGCTGGCCAAAGGGAAACTTGATCTTTATAAAGAAACCTCAGCTTTTACCTGCTCAAAACAATACCAGCCACTGAGACCACAAGGAGAAAGTATAAATAAGGAAGCTGTAACAATTATAAAAACACTATCAGCTCTTCTGTCCATCAGAGAACATCATGGTAAAATCGATGGCTCTCCTGCAAGAGATGTAGAACTAGGAATGTGGGTTTTGTCACCAGCAAGACTCCAAAACCTGACCTTTACTGCCCACCTGCGTGTACCCATTCACTGTTGTTTCCTTAAGTTTTTCTTTCCAGCTTTTTTTTTTTTTTTTAAGTAAACTTTACCCTCAAAGTCCCCCAGGGCTAGAACCCACAACCCCAAGATCAAGACAGGCAGGCTCTACTGACTGAGCCAGCCAGGCACCATATTTCCAGCTTATCTTTTAACTCAGGCAAAAGATCCCACAGGTATAGCCTCCTGTGATAGAAACCGAAACTACCCTCTAAGCAATAAGGACCGCCCTGACCACCCAGACCAGTTTGAGCTCAACCAAAGACTCACAACTGTGCAGAAAGACCTAGTATGAGAGTTATCTTTACTTCATTATAATGCTAAAATCTGATGCTGAAATCTCCACCCAGGGAGGAGCTGAAACTCATTAACGTAACATACAATGTACACACGCTTAGGCACATTTCCTTAAGACCCAGATGTGACCTTATGCCCACCTCTACATACAATGACAAAACTCCTCTTTCTGAATATTGATGCTAACCCTAAATAAAAGAGACCCATTCTCCAACTCTTGATTTCAGGTCAGGTCATGATCTCAGGGTCCTGGGATCAAGCTCTGAGTTGAGCCCGGTGTCAGGCTCTGTGGTCAACTGGGAGTCTGTTTAGATTCTCTCCCTTTCCCTCTGCCCCTCCCCCCACTTGTGCTCTTCTCTCTCAAATAAAATAAATAAATATATAAATCTTTAAAAAAACCCGGGGGTGGGGGGCGCCTGGGTGGCTCAGTCAGTTAAGTGTCCAACTCTTAATTTTGGCTCAGGTCATGATCCTGGTCATGGTCATGGGTTCGAGCCCGGCATTGAGCTCCCCACTCTGCAGGGAATCTGTCTGTCCCTCTTCCTCTGCTCCTCCCCCCACTCACACTCTCTCTCTGTCTCTCAAATAAGTGAATAAATAAAATCTTTTTTAAAAATGTATTCCTTTGCTGAGTGTGAATTTTCTCTTTCAAAGCTGAATGGCTGGCTCAGCATAACCTCAATGAAATCAGGAATAGATATGTGGTCAAGGGGGGCCTGGGTGGCTCAGTCGTTAAGCGTCTGCCTTCGGATCAGGTCATGATCCTGGGGTCCTGGGATCAAGCCCCACATCGGACTCCCTGCTCAGCAGGGAGCCTGCTTCTCCCTCTCCCACTCCCTCTGCTGTGTTCCCTCTCTCACTGTGTCTCTCTCTGTCAAATAAATAAAATCTTAAAAAAAAAAAAAAAAAAAGAAAGAAAGAAATGTGGTCAAGCCATCTCCTGGGAGATGAGCACCCAGGCAAGGAGGACCATCTGAGAGGGAAGCCATGCCAGCCTTTCTTGGAAAGGGAGAGAAGACAGCCTTTCCAAGCACCTGTCTGCAAGCACCAGGGTGAGTAGGGCAGTGTACCTGGAAAGCAAACCCTGACATCTTGTCTAGCCGGTGATCATTTGCACAAAGGATCTCTGTCATTTACATTTCACTTAGCTCCTAGGGATAAAAGCAGACAGGCAAGGGGCAGTTTCCAAGCACTCACCGTGTATAGAGTTGTGCTGGACAAAATTGAGAGCTTGCCAGTGTCTGAGAGGACTGAGGACACACATACTGAATAATAGAAGGGTCCCTTACAGAGTAATGTGTCCAAACATGCCTGTGTGTGGATCAATACTAATGACTGTCATTACTGAGTAAAAGAGTGCCAAACTTGATAGACTTGATGCAATCGCCATCAAAATCCCAGCAGGCTATCTTGAAGAAATAGACAAGATGATTTGAAAATGCATATGGAAAAGCAAAGGCTCTAGAATAGTCAATCTTCAAAATGAACAGAGCTGGAGGACATACACTACCTGATACCAACATTTGCTATAAAGCTTACAATAATGAGAGGGGCACCTGGGTGGCTCAGTCAGTTAAGCGGCTGCCTTTAGCTCAGGTCATGATCTCAGGGTCCTGGGATCGAACCCTGCATCAGGCTCCATGCTCAGTAGGAGTCTGCTTCTTCCTCTCCCTCTGCCCCTCCGCTCCCCCACTTGTGGCTCTCTCTCTCTCTCAAATAAATAAAATAAAATTTTAAAAAAGCTTACAATAACCAGGACAGTGTGGTATCAGTGGAAGGAGAGACAAATAGACTGACAGAACAGAATAGAATCCAGAAATGGATTCATACATATACAGTTAGTTGATTTTCCAAAAAAGTGCCAAGTCAGGCCAATGGGGAGAGGAATGTCTCTTCAATGAAAATTGCTGAAACAACTGGAAATCGATTTGGAAAAAAATGAATCTTGACCCTTATTTGACCTTATTCACAAAATTAATTTGAGGGGCGCCTGGGTGGCTCAGTTGGTTAAGCGACTGCCTTCAGCTCAGGTCATGATCCTGGAGTCCTGGGATCGAGTCCCACATCCGGCTTCCTGCTCGGCAGGGAGTCTGCTTCTCCCTCTGACCCTCTTCCCTCTCGTGCTTTCTATCTCTCATTCTCTCTCTCTCTCTCAAATAAATAAATAAAATCTTTAAAAAAAAATTAAAGAAAAACAAACAAAACAAAAAAAAAATTAATTTGAGGTGGATCATGGACCTAACCTTAAATCCCAGGCCCATAAAGCTTCTTGACGAAAACAGAAGACTGTCCTTGAGCAGGATACAAAAAGGAAGAAAAACCCTGCTAAAATGGCTTCATCAGAATTTAAAATGTCTGCTTATCAAGAGACACTATTAAGAAAATAATTGACAAGCTGCAGACCTGGAAAAATATCTTTGCAGCCATAAAACTGAGAAAGGATGTATATTCAAGACATGTAAAGAGCTCTTACAAATTGGCACTAAAAATAAAAACATTCCAATTACAAAATGGGAAAAGACTTCCAACAGACACCTCACAAAGATATACAAATGGCCAATAAGCAGTTGAAAAAGCCCTCAGCATCATTAGTCCTCAGGGAAATGGCCCATAAAACCACAGGGAAACACGACTTCATACATACTAAAATGGCTAAAAAAACCCTGATGTTCCAGTAACCTATTGCTGCATATCTTGTCACCCCAAAACTTAGAAATGTCAACCATTATAATCATTTTATTATCTCTTACAACTTCTTTGGGTCAGGAACTCTGGAAGGGCTTGGCTGGGTGAGACAGGCCTGGGGGGTGGGGGAGTGGTCTCTCCTGCTGTTGCAGTCAGACTATGGCTGGATGTGGAAAATCGGGGACTGGAGCAGCTGGGGCCTCTCGCTCTCTCTCCCTTCACATAGTTTTATGGTCTTTGCATGTGGTCTTGTTTGGGCTTCTTCACAGCATGGCAGCCTCCAGGTACTCAGACTTCCTTCCAGGGGGCTCAGGTCTCCAAGGCTAACAAGGATGCTGTTGCATTACGTTTTATGACCTAGCTAAGAAGGGAGAGCATCACTTTCACCACATTCCACCAAACCCACCTAGATTGAAGGGGAGTGGAATTAGACTCTCTCTTGATGTGGAAGTGGCAAGATTCTAGAAGAGCAAGGAGGGGGGGGAGGATGAGAGCTATTAACTGCAGCCGTTTTGGGAAAATACAATCTGTGGTGGATAAACCTGTCAAGAAAAAGCAGGCAGATCACACCAGGCCTTGTAAGCCACACTAAAGTTCAGTCTTGATAGGTATTGTGATGGGGACGCACTGGAGGGCTTTAAGCAAGAGAGTAAAATTAGCCAACTTTTAAAAGTTCGTGGCAGCAGGTGTGTGGATAAAGAATTTGCGAGGAGGGTTTGGAAGCAGGGAGACCATTTAGGAGGGGGGTCCAGAAGTTCACGTGCCAGGCATGGCCAGAGTCCCGGCCTGGGTGAGTGTCGGGGAAGGAGGGCCGCCAGGTTTCCGCCTGTCCAGCTATTTTGTTCCCTGAGAACCACGGAGAAGCAAGTTTGTTTGAAACGCTTTGGGCTTTAAAAGCCACGGGAGACGAACGAGACTGGAACTCGGGAGGTAAAAAATTTAGGGAGACAACCAACAGCATTTTAAAAGGCACGGATGTGGACGTATGTGTCAAGCCAAGTTTTAGAAACTCTCTACTCACTCCTCCCGACGCGCCTCGGACTGTGCCAAGTTCTCACACAGGCTGGAAGGCGCGTGCGCACACCTACGTCCCCGGGCGGCCCCTGGGCGGCAGCTTCCGGATTGCGCACGCGCGGTGGGCGGCGGTCGCCATGGAGACGCGTGGTGCTGGCCGGGCGCTTAGCTCCTGCGGCCGCGGGCTCGGCGGCAGGGGTCTTGGGCTGTCCCTGGCGCCGGTGGCGGCGCGGAGGCCGAATGGACTGCCGCGGCGGAGCGGGGGCGTCGGGGTACGGCGAAGAGGGCGAGGACGGCGAGGACGACGAGGAGGAGCGAGAGGGTGGCACTGCGGGCTCTCAGGGGGCTAAACTGCCCCCCATCGCAGGCAGCGCCTCAGAACTGAACAAACGGAAGGTGAAGAAGAAAAAGAAGAAGAAGAAGACCAAGGGGTCCAGCAAGGGGGACGGTAAGACGAGCAGCTAGCGCAGCAGCCTCAGCTCCCCGTACCAGAGTTCTCCAAGCTCACCCATCCCCAGCCCTCACAGAGACCCCCATCTACTTGGGAACCACTTCGCACCAGAAACAGAAACTCGCCAGTCCCAAACAGAGGTCCTCCCGCTCCCCACACGTACCACTTAACGCAACACAGTGATGACCCAGCCCTCTCCATAAAAACCATACATGTCCACAGAGACCCCAAATCCTGCACAGAGAATTTTCAACATCCACGGAGACCCTCTACCCCACAGAGATCCCCAGCATTCCCAGCATTATTCCCGCAGAGCCTCCCAGCGCCACACAGCAGCTCAGCTTTGCACGGACACCCTCTCAATTTCCTAATCCCTCAGCTAAAACTCAATCTTAAATAACCACACTTTCCCCACAGAAACGTCAAGCCCTCCTACAGAGATTCCCTCATCTTCACAGACACTTTCCCCAAGCCTAAGATACTAAGACACTGGTGACAAACACAGGTTTTTGCCTTCTGCCCCATGCGTTAGGGGCACCTGACCTCTCCATGTTATGCAGACATCCTGTAAATGCATAGAAAGTATCTTTCCTGCACGGGCTGTCTCCTGCCATCCCCCATTCGCCAGGGCCAGCCCTCAACTGCGCACATACCATCACATCAGTCACTGCTGCATACTCTTGTAATCCCCAACACCCTCAACAACACCCCCTTATAGCATTATAACCACCAAATAAAACTAAAGTACAGATGCCCCATCCAGCCCACACATTCCCAGGCTACACATACGTATGGGTACTCGGCTACACACTCATGTGCTTAAACCCCACCGGCCAAACGCTTCCTGGACACATGCACGCAGGTTCTCACTCCAGTCTCTCCCAAGGACACCTCACATGCATACACACACCAACACCTGCCACAATCCCACAGAGTGCCTACATCTCACCAAGTTCCTCTCCCAGAACCCTGCAGATTTCTTGACAAAGGCACTGAGCACCCAGTTTATGGAGAGAGAGTGCAACAGTGACATAGAAGTGCCTGCCTGTGAGTGCTAAGTTTCCAGTGTCACTTGTGTGGTCCCCTTCTGGGGCTTTGACTGTCAGGGAGGTGGCTCTCACCTCCAGCACGGGTAGTCCTTGGTTCAAGTTTCGGGGCCCTGGCCTGTAGCGTGTAGAGCTGGTACCCCCAGCGAGCTGGAGGCAGAGGGACTGGCAGTCTTCCTCGTGTCATGCTTGTAGTTTGGGAAAGGGAGCAATGGGAGGGTTATAATGACTTCTTCAGGTGGAATCCTAATAGAAAGGCAAGGAAAATTTCTGGAGTTGAGGTCAAAAAGCCCCATGTGTATCTGCAAAACCAAATTAGGAAACCTGTTGTCCTTTTGGCTTACTTTCCTGCTCTGGAATTTATAGTGGCATGTAATTCATATGGTCAGCAGGGGACACCAAATAGTTTTAGAGGAACAGGAAGGCATAGAAATGTCCAGAGAGGACTTTTTTTCTTATTTTCTCTTTTTTTAGGGGGGATTTGTCTCCCCAAAAGTAGAAGGATGAGCTGATGAAAGAACCATAACTTACAGTACTTTATATGAGGGCTCTACAATTCAGAAATGCTATTAATTTAAAAAAACAACTCAGTACAAGCCACACAGCAGAAAAGTATTTCCTGGCTTGGCATGATATTGCTTTCCACAATCAGATTTAGGAAGCTTTTCTGTTGTTCTCCATTTCTCCCATCATAAGTCCAGACTAGGGGTGGAGTCATAGACTCCTCAAACTGGAAGGTACCTGGATGAGATATGGAGCATGAATGGCATGGTGGAAAGAATAGGAACAGGGCACTGGGAGCCAGGCCTGTGTTTGAATCCTGACCCCTGCCACTTACTATGTGATGTTGGTAAGGTAGACTTTTGGAGTTTCAGTTTCCTCACCTGGAAAATAGGGCTAATAACCTTTATCCAGAGGACCTGGCCTCTAGTACGTGCTCAGTAAACGGTTCCTCCTTCTCCAAAATGACTTGAGGGAAAGCCTAGAGCTGGTGGGTGTGTAGGAGGCTGGTGGGCTTGGCTCTCTGAGCCTTAGGCCAGGAGGGGCCTCCACCTGCTACACCTTCGGGGACTTGGGCAACACACCCGCTAACTCGGCTCGTCTGCTCAGCAGATAAACATCAGAGTCCAGGCCTGAAGAGTCAGCAGCTGCCCTCATCCTCTCACGACATCTTAAGTCCCAGCAAAGATCATGGCCCCAGGCAAGAGCACAAACAGGACAAAGGTGAAAACAGGCCCATCCCCCCTTACCCCTCCACTGTAAGTCTCCCCCATTTTGCCGAAATAGAAGACAACCTCTCCAACCAGATCAACGAAAGCCTGCGTTGGGACGGAATTCTCGCAGACCCAGAGGCCGAAAGAGAAAGGATTCGCGTATACAAGCTGAACCGGAGGAAGCGGTACCGGATCTTGGCCCTCAAGGGCTTCCACTCTGACCTGGGTGGCCAGGAGGACCCCGAGAACCTGCCATACCTCCCGGATAAGGAGAGCAACACCGAGGGCAGGCAGCCCGCGCCGAAAGCCGGCCGGCCCAGCCACGGCTTGGAAGGAAGCCTCACGCCCAGGCTCCTGCGCTCTGATCTGGCTGCCGCTCTGCCGGAGTGAAAACCCAGCCCGACGCCAAGTCCGCACCGCCAGTTTCTGTGTCCCAGAAGAATAATAATAAAAGGAAATCAGAGCGCCTGAAGGAAGCAGACGTCTGGGGTGTCGACGGGGCCCGCCTCTCCTTCCACCAGGGCGCTTTTCGTGGCCCGGGGAAGGCACAGCCATGTAATGGACACAGCCCTTTCTGGATTTTTTTTTTCTTAGATAATTTGGCATCTCTTTGTTATTTAATTTCTCATCACAGATGTCTGTAATCTTCCCCTCTAAAAGACAGAGTGTGTAGATTATATCAATTCCAACTCTTAAGCTAATTTAATGGGTAAAACTCCTCACACAGCATGCTTCTCTAGGCCCAACGAAAATGCCCCAAATATCCTGGAGGCTTTTTTTTTTTCTTTTTTTTAATTACATACACTCCCTGCCCTTATGTGGTCTTCAAAATAACTGAGTTCCAGAACTCCATCCCTGGGAGATAATTATGAGAAGTCTCAAAAGAGGTATTGCTTCTCTTCTAAATATGGTCATCCCAGGGAGCAAATTGGTGGTTGCCAGAGGGGAAAGGGGTTGGGGGTGGGGGAAACAGGTGAGGGGGCTCAGTTGTACAGTGATGGATGGTAACTGGACTTGTGCGGTGATCACTTTGTAGCGTGTACAAATACTGAATTACGATGTCGGACACCTGAAGCTTATGTAGTGTTACATACCAATTTTACTTCAATTAAAAAAAGAATATATATATATATATATGTATATATATAGTCCTCCTCTAATCCCCTAAAACAGCATTTTAAGCAAAGTTCTGGAACATTAAAAAGGTCCTACTATACTACTTGTCCTAAATTAATATTCTTCCCTTGCATCAATATTTATTGAGTGGGGGCCGATGTGTTGTGTTGGTTTGGGCTCTCCAGAAGCAGACCCTGAATCAAAGACTCAAATGGAAATAGATTATTTGGGAGCCAAAGGAAAGCTCAGTAGAGAAGGCACAGGGAGGGGAAGACAGCCAATCCAGGGACACGGTCAAGCCAGTTTCCATATTGGCTAACTGGAGCTTAATCCCACTGGGAAACACTAGCAGGATTATCCCCCCTGAGCTTGAAGAAGCTGGGCCCTTCTACTGCCCATAGGCATTGGCTGAGGGTTAATTTCCCGGCATTTCCAGCCTGCCAAACAGGTCGGCCCAGAGGCCTTCCTCAGGCACAAAGACGCAGACTGGGAGGTGCAGGGGATGGGGTAGTCTCTATGCAACATGGTGTAGGGTCCAAGAGGGACATGGTGGAGGTTTAAGATCAGGTTCCTGCCTTCCAAGGAATTGAAGACACGCATTATACTTGGCAGAAGTTGAAAGCCAGTACAAAACATTACAGAATGCTTTTTTTTATTAAGATTTTATTTATTTGAGAGAGAGAGAATGAGAGAGAGAAAGCACATGGTGGGGGGAGGGTCAGAGGGAGAAGCAGACTCCCTGCTGAGCAAGGAGCCCGATGCGGGACTCGATCCAGGGACTCCAGGATCATGACCTGAGCCGAAGGCAGTCGCTTAACCATCCGAGCCACCCAGGAGCCTACAGAATGCTTTTCTGAGAGAAGCAGAAGTGGTCATCTCAGTCCCTGCTAGCCCCAGCTGACAGAGAAGCCCTTTTGTTACCTTTCCTTAAATGGCCACTTACAGAGTTGTCACCACTGCTTGTGTTCTTTCGCTGTTTCTGTCAAATAAATTAAAGAAACAAAAAACAAAAAAACTTCTAACGGACTGAGTGCTTCCTAGGGGCGAGGCGCTATGCTGAAGTCTTTATTTATTTATTTATTTATTTATTTTTAAAGATTTTTTATTTATTTATTCGACAGAGGGAGACAGCGAGAGAGGGAACACAAGCAGGGGGAGTGGGAGAGGGAGAAGCAGGCTTCCCGCTGAGCAGGGAGCCCGATGTGGGGCTCGATCCCAGGACCCTGGGATCATGACCTGAGCCGAAGGCAGACGCTTAACGACTGAGCCACCCAGGCGCCCCTTTATTTATTTTTTTAAGATTTTATTTATTTGAGAGAGAGAGTGAGAGAAAGCATGAGAGGGGAGAGGGTCGGAGGGAGAAGCAGACTCCCCGCTGAGCGGGGAGCCCATCGCGGGACTCGATCCCAGGACTCCAGGATCATGACCTGAGCTGAAGGCAGTCGCTTAACCAACTGAGCCACCCAGGCGCCCTATGCTGAAGGATTTATGTAAGTACTGCCTTTGATTCCCACAGCACCGAGGTAGGTAGCTGCATCCCTGTTTCCAGATGTGGGAGGTAGTGCTCAGAGAGGTTAAGCAATTTCCCTGAGTTCACATAACTAGCACATAGTGGGAAGGACAAAAATTCAGCTCTGATGTCAAAGCTCATCATTTTAACCACTACACCAGAATATCTCATAGCAGAAAGGTGACCACAGGCCACCCCCACTCTCACCACCCATGGAAGACACCACTGCAAAGTGACCAAGGCATCCTGCGGCCTCAGACTCTCCCATACACCGCACCCCCAGCCACTATGGTTGATCCAGAGGGCATGGGAGAGAGCAGCCCAGCCGCTCCACCCTCCGCTGTCTTTACCTTGAGCCCTGGGGCCTCAGGCAAGGTCCTGTGGCTGAGGATGAACATGTATCCTGTCTCCTCCTCTCTATGGGGACACACCAAAGCCCTTGTTCCTCTTCGCTTGATTCTATAGGTGCCCCTCAACATGGACAGCAGCCCAGGGAGGGCCACTCCTGTCTGCTGGGGGGTCCCTGCCAGAGGAGGCTGCTAACCCCCTCTCCGCGGGGAAGGACAGGGCTCTTCCAAAAGTCCCTTTGCTATATTTTGCCACAATACGATGGCCAGAATGAGACACTCAGGCGCCCCCATTGGAGAGTTTTGAGCATTGATATTTTAGGTTGGGGTGTCTGCACAGTCGCTGGACAGACTGTCCTGGTGATGGTGTAGCGCTCACCTCATCAAAGGCTGAATTTCACAAAGAGATGTGGATTCAGCGGCCGGCCAATAGATGTAATTCAAAGAAACCACAAAACAAATTACAGGGGTGTGGAGCAAGAGGGAATGTAGGAGAAATGAAACCAGGGTCTCAAAGTCTGGTGGTTTGGGGGCCTTGGGGCCAAACAAAAAAGTGCCTACTTGTGGGGCACCTGGGTGGCTCAGTCGTTAAGCATCTGCCTTCAGCTCGGGTCATGATCCCAGGGTCCTGGGATTGAGCCCCGCATCGGGCTCCCTGCTCAGTGGGGAGCCTGCTTCTCCCTCTCCCACTCCCCCTGCTTGTGTTCCCTGTCTCGCCGTGTCTCTCTCTGTCAAATAAATAAATAAAATCTTAAAAAAAAAAAAAGTGCCTACTTGTAACCTGGAACCTTTTTATTACTGAGTGGTGTTCCATTGTGTGAATATACACCACAGACATTTCAGTCCCTTCAACATATGGCTATTGTGAATAAAATTATCATGAACATGCTCTTTTTTGGACCTATGTTTTTATTTCTCTTGCATGAGTATTTAGTGGTATTTCATTGTGGTTTCACTGTACATTTCCCTGGTATGACGTTGAACACCTTTCATTGTGCTTATTTTGCCTCCATGTATCTTCCTTTGTGAAGTGTCTGTTCAAGTCTCTTGCCCATTTTTATTTTATTTTTTAAAAGATTTTACTTATTTATTTTATTTACTTTTTTAAAGATTTTATTTATTTATTTGAGAGAGAGAATGAGAGATAGAGAGCACGAGAGGGAAGAGGGTCAGGGGGAGAAGCAGACTCCCCGCCGAGCAGGGAGCCCGATGTGGGACTTGATCCCGGGACTCCAGGATCATGACCTGAGCCGAAGGCAGTCACTTAACCAACTGAGCCACCCAGGCGCCCAAAAGATTTTATTTATTTAGAAAGATTGGGGGAAGGGGCAGAGGGAAAAGGAGAGAGAGAAAATTTCAAGCAGACTGCGCTGAGCGCGAGCCCGACACAACACCCTGAGATCAAGAGTTGTATGCTTAACCAACTGAGCCACCCAGGCACCCCCTCTTGCCCATTTTTTTTTTAAGATTTTATTTATCTGAAAGAGAGAGAAAGAGCACAAGCTAAGGGGAGGGGCAGAGGGAGAAGCGCCATCCCAGGACCCCAAGATCATGACCTGAGCCAAAGCAGACACTTAACCGACTGAGCCACCCAGGTGCCCCTCTTGCCCATTTTTAATCAGGTTTTTCATTTTCTTTTTTTTTTTAAAGATTTTATTTATTTATTTGAGAGAAAGAATGAGAGAGAGAGCACATGAGATGGGGGAGGGTCAGAGGGAGAAGCAGACTCCCTGCCGAGCAGGGAACCCGATGTGGGACTTGATCCCGGGACTCCAGGATCATGACCTGAGCCGAAGGCAGTCGCTTAACCAACTGAGCCACCCAGGCGCCCTTTTTTTTGTTTTGTTTTAAAGATTTTATTTCAGGTTTTTCATTTTCAATGTTGACTTGTAGGAGCTCTTTGTATATTCTGGATGTAAGTCCTTGTCAGGTGTAAATATTTTTTTCAGCCTGTGGAATACCTTTTATTTTCATAACAGAGTCTTTGAAGAACAGAAGTTTATATATAAGAGAGAGTTTGATGTATTTTTTTTCCAGATTTTCTATTTCATCTTGTGCCAGTTTGGTAAGATACGTTTTTTTTTTTAAAGATTGTAATATTTGAGAGAGAGCACAAGCAGAGGGAGCAGCAGAGGGAGAGGGAGAAGCAGGCTCCCCACTAAGCAGGGAGCTCGATGTGGGGCTCGATCCCAGGACCCTGGGATCATGACCTGAGCTGAAGGCAGATGCTTAACTGACTGAGCCACCCTTGCGTCCTATACTAGCATTTCTTAAAGTGCATTTCTTTCTTTTTTAAGATTTATTTATTTGAGAGAGAGAGAGAGAGAGAGAGAACATGCAAGCAGGGGGAGGGGTAGAGAGAGGGGGAGAGAATCCTCATTTTCTACTGAGGGCAGAGCCCAACATGGGGCTCAATA